TATGACATTGGATACTCCTTGTTAGACTGGTATATGTATGACATTTGAAAATTTCTTGATCGACTTGTATTTTTATGACATTGGATATTCCTAATTAGATTAGTATACTTGTTGCATTGGATATTCATGGTTAGACTGGTACATTTATGACAATGGATATTTCTTGTTAGCCCTGTATATTAATCACAAAGGATATTCCTTGTTAGACCGGTATATTTATGACATTTGATACTCCTAGTTAGACCAGTATATTTATCACATTGGTTACTCCTAGTTAGATCAGTATATTTATCACATTGGTTACTCGTAGTTAGACTGGTATATTTATAACAATGAATATTACTTATTGTACTGGTACACTTATGATATTGGATACTCCTTTTTAGACTGGCATATTTATGACATTGGATATTCCTTCTCAAACTCTAATATTTAATAATTTGGGTACTTCTACTTAGACCAGAATATTTATGACCTTGGATATTCCTAGTTAGACCAGTATATTTATTACACTGGATATTCCTTGTTAGACTGGTATATTTATGATATTGCATACTCCTAATTGGACCGGTATATTTATGACATTGAATACTCCTAGCTAGACTGGCATATTTATGACATTGGATACAACTAGCTAGACTGGTACATTTATGACGTTGGATATTCGTTGTTAGACTGGTACATTTATGACGTTGGATATTCGTTGTTAGACTGCTATATTTATAACACCGGGTACTGCTAGTTACACTGGTAAATTTATGACATTGGATATTCCTTGTTAGACCAGTATATTTATGACACGGGATACTCCCAACAAGACTGGTATATTTATGACCTTTGAAAATTCCTTGTTAGACCTGTATATTTATGACATTGGATACTCATAGTTAGTCCAGTATATTTATGACATTGGATATTTCTTATTAGACCAGTATATTTATGACAGAGTAGTACATTTATGAAATTGGATACTCATAGTTAGACTGGTATATTTATGACATTGAATATTCCTAGCTAGACTGGTATATTTATGACATTGGATATTCCCTGTTAACCTAGTATATTTATGACATTGGATATTCCTTGTTAGATCAATATATTTATGACACTTGGTATTCCATGTTAGACTGCTATATTCATGAAATTGGATATTTCTTGTTTGACTGGTATATTTATAACACAGAATATTTCTAGTTAGACGGGTATGTTTATGACATTGGATATTCCTTGTTAGACCAGTATATTTATGACATTTTTCAAATACCTTGTTAGACCAGAATATTTATGGCATTGGATATTCCTTGTTAGACTGATATATTTATGACACTTGATAATCCTAGTTAGACTGGTACATTTGTGATATTGAACATTCTCTGTTAGACTGGTATATTTATGACGTTGGATATTCCTTGTTAGACCAGTATATTTATGATATTTGAAAATTCCTTGTTAGACTGGTATATTTATGACATTGAATATTCCTAACTAGACTGGTATATCTATGACTTTGGATATTCCTTGTTAACCTGGTATGACATTGGATACAACTAGCTAGACTGGTACATTTATGACGTTGGATATTCCTTGTTAGACCAGTATATTTATGATATTTGAAAATTCCTTGTTAGACTGGTATATTTATGACATTGAATATTCCTAACTAGACTGGTATATCTATGACATTGGATATTCCTTGTTAACCTGGTATGACATTGGATACAACTAGCTAGACTGGTACATTTATGACGTTGGATATTCGTTGTTAGACTGCTATATTTATAACACTGGGTACTACTAATTACACTGGTAAATTTA